CTCCTTCTGCTAGTATTACAGCAAACTGGAAATATACCTTTGTTTTACTTTGGGTACTTCTCCTGTGTTTCAGGATTTTGTCCCGTTATACCAGGACTTTGAAAATTTCTACAACAGAAACCTCTACATGCGCATTCGAGACAGCTGGAACAGACCAATTTGCAGTGTGCCAGGGGCCAAAGTGGACATGATGGAGAGGGTTTCCCATGACTATAACTGGACATTCACGTGAGTCAATATTGAAAGACAGGCTTCCAACAACTGTCTTGGATTATCAAAGAGCAGATTGAAGGCTGTGACATTAAAGGAGACAACTTCAGACAAGCATCTTTGGCTGAAGTTTCCACAGACATGAAAAGAAGAATTTTGCTGTTTTGAAAAATATCTAACCCTAATTATTTTTACATAACCCTTGAATATTATTTTCAATGCTTCTGACTGTGTTAATATTTCCTGGGCAGACTCTTACAGGAGCATTAGTACTTGTGTGTGAGCTGACTAGAGCCTGGAGTAGATACTTGGTGACTTTTGGAGCTGCGTTAGAATCAATCTCCATGCTTGAAGTAAACTTTGTTGCCTGAAACTGAAGTTAGCATGATTGCTTTGAGTCAGAATTGAAATGGGCTGTGACAATCACAGAAATTCAAGCACACGGGTTGTTAAAAATTGAGGTTGATTCACCACAGGGTTTCATGTGATGAAAAGTTTTGCACCGTGTTACTTGGTGAAAGAAGGCATGTTTCTGCTTGGCTTTCACATTCAAAAAAGAGCTCTTTTTTTTTTTTTTTCTGCTAAACGTCTTCCTTAAATCTCCTTGTCACGTATTGCTAGCACAGTAGTGCCAAATGTGTTTCCTGTCTGTAGTTTGAGGATATCCTGCTTGAGGGGCTGCCGTGTTAATTGATTTGAAATCTTACTTTGTAATTGGCAAGAAAGCTGTGTTTCTGGGGTGCAGGGGGGGAACATGCACCAGGGAAACGACAAATGGTTTGAGAAATTTCAAGCATTGTTAAATTATAGCAAATGCTCTTTTTAATGTAGACTCTTGTAGGTACTTGCTTCTGTTTGCAGTTTGAGACCCTGACAGTGGCAAGAACACCTCTTTCATTTATTATTTCTCTTTGATAATGAAGATTGTTACCGAAAAAAGCTAATGATTACTTCTCTTGATTTCTACCATCTTAGCATTATCTTCTAGAAAACTGAAATAAGAATTATCCTGTATAACTGGTTTTACAATTGCTAGTGACTTAACCTTTTTTAAAAAAAAATTATTATATATATGTATTTATTTTGCTTAATGCAGGTACACTGGAAGAGTGATAAAGGATGTTATCAATATGGGTTCCTACAACTATCTTGGATTTGCACAGAATAGTGGGCCTTGCCAAGAAGCAGCAGCTGAAGTACTGTCCCAGTATGGTGCTGGGGTGTGCAGCACTAGGCAGGAGATGGGTGAGTCAGAGTCGGATTGCATGTTCCTAGAAGGAATGCTTCAAGTTTGTAACGTGACCTCTGGCTTATTTAAAACATTACTTATTCTAGCTTTTGAACTTTAGTCCAAGCAATGAAGAAATTGTTCTTGAGTGAATATTAATTGACTTGCTGGATTTAGTTTATACAGTGCAGCATTTGACTCATTTATGTTTTCAGATTTTTTTATGGGACTTGAAACGAAGAATAGCCTAATTGCTGAGAGTATCTTGTAGAATAGAGCAATAAGGGCATTTTTCCCTCACTCTGGATTTCTTGTTTGTTTAATATGCAGGAAACTTGGACAAACATGAGGAGCTGGAAAAGCTAGTCGCCAGGTTCCTAGGCGTGGAATCTGCAATGGCATATGGGATGGGGTTTGCGACCAACTCTATGAACATTCCTGTTTTAGTTGGCAAGGTATGGCTTAAGTCACTGTAAAAATACATCTAACGAAGATTTTGCCTGCAGGATTTTCAAGAAGCTACTTGTTTGTTTCTGCTTTTCTTTACTGGCAGCCCCTGCAGATACTCTGGAAACTGTGAATATGCTGTATACATCTCTATCCTGGACAAAAATCTTTTGGAAACACAACATCCTCCTGTTGGCCTTTTTCTCAGGGAGAGCATAGCATACTAGTGCTTGCTTCCTCAGGCCCCTCATTACTGTATGAAATAGGAGCTTATTAACAGACTCATTGGCTGAAGGTATTTTGATGCTCTAGAGACACTAGGAATTAACTCAGTAAGATGTGCAGATAAGCTGAATTGCATTTTCATATGTACCAAGTTTATTATCACTGAGGGATGTCAGGAAAGACCTTCCTTTGGAGGAGTGAATTCCTAGTAGAAAAACAGAAGGTCAAATGTAAGGAGTGGTTATCTCTACTGTGTACACCATAAAACAATATACCATGCAAACTCTGGTACCTTAGTAATCAGAAAAAGAAATGGAGGAGGAGTCTTTGCTTCTTCTGATTTTAAATATATATATATATACACACACACACACACACACATGTATATGTGTGTGTGTGTTCTGTTATCTTTTTTTGGAATGAAATAGTGTGAGTCTTTGAAGATGATTTCCTCTTAGTCTCATGGTATAACCATATTGGAGTTATTCCCTTGTACTGAGTTATTTACCCTTAATTCATTTTAATTTTACACTTCTAAGATCATTTTCTAATTTCTTCTACTTGTTATATTTACACTTCATAAAATAGTTGCCTTGTTCTTCCCAATGGTTTTTTCTTTGTTTTTCCTCTTCTTCTGAAGTGGTCTTTCTGCTTCCGATAGCTTGGGTTTTGGGGGTGTGTTTTTTGTTTTTTGTTTAAACTCCAAAGTAGCACTATCTGCTTTGTGCCTGTTTCGGCTTGGTCTGATAAACTTTAGGTATGTCAGATGCTTTTCATAATGATACTTTCAAATCAGATGCTAGGAAGGAACTAACTTCATCAAATATTTTCTCTCTAAAATTAAATAGTTCCATCATACTGTGTTTTTAAATACCACCTGTGTTATTGTAACTAATTCACTTCTGCTCTTTGACTTCCTACCTTTCCCTTGCTCTCTTAATCAGAAAAAATAGTTCATGATTTCTGTGAGATTTTGAACTCACAAATCTAGTTAACCAGATTTTTCACTGTGTTCTTTCTGTTCCAGTTAGCAGAAATTGCACATTCCTGTGCAATAACTCATTTTTTCTGTATATATAGATTACACTGTATTATCTTTAATGTATCTTTTTACATATATTGAGTGTCTTAACAGTAAATTTTAAGACATATATATGGAAACATATGCTATAACTTATACATGTAATAACTTTTTTCGTATTCAGGTTGACTACAGCAGGTCTGAACTGTTAGTGATAAGCATACTTTTTGCACTTTAAGTAAATAATATGTTACTGTCTTATAACACTGGAATTGCCATTATAATTTGGGGTGAATACCCCAAAAAAAAGTTTTTTGTGAAGGTAAGAGCTGCTGTTATGGAACAGTTTTGCAGTTGCAGATACTAACTAAATGCTGTTTCTGGTTGCCTGATGTTGATTTTTACTGCACTAGTTATCTTTTTCTATCTACAAATAAGGAAGGACTTGCATAAATCTGAGTTCAGAATTCTGGCACCGCCCAGGATTCAGCTTTCTTAAGGGAATCCTCAGTGAGGCCTTTAGATTAGTGATTTCCTGCTTGATTAAACTCTGGAGCTCTCAGTTTACAATTGTTTGCATCTGTCTGCTTGTTCTATGTACGTTTTAGATACAAAGCATCTTAGAACATGCGTTTTTGGAGTTTTGGCAAATGTAGTTAGTTATAGCAGTCGCACTTGGTCAAAAGGAGTTACTTGTATAGTCAGTGGTATGACTTGAAGCTATTTATTATCTATATCAAATTTGGCTTCTTACATCACAGCTACTTAGCTTTAAAAGCAAGCCAGTTTAGTAAAGCTATTCACTTATATACATATATATACACCTACGTGTGTGTGTGTATATATAGTGCTTGACTACCTGCTCCCTTATGGTTCTGCAGAATCCTTAGGCACTTAGCTTGTTGCTACTTAATGCTCCTTTAATGACAACAACTATGACTTAGTTATCCTACGGTTATCCTATCCTATCCTACCTAGTCTGGTCAGCGTTGCCAGAAAAAAAGCATTCAGACGCTTCATCAGTTACCCAGTTGATTTTTTGTTCACTGTGCCTTGTCAGCAGGAGCTTCTACTAAGCAGATGCACAAAACAGGTGCAGTTGTTGTAGACTGCAAGTTGTATTTCAGCACTGTTAAAGCATCACTAAAAACAGGTCTTTCTGCACCTGGCATTTTTTTAGCTGGAGAGACCCACTGTTGAGAGCAAGTTCCTGGCTGCACAGTACAATCACTGCCAAGTCTGCTGAGCGTAGATCATAGATAATCTAAAATATGGAGATTAGAGACATAATTTTTTAGACATAAGCTTTTAGCTTCTCGGACTTCCTTTTTCAAAGCAAGTGCCATGAATACGGTTGGTATAATTATCTAATAGCAACATTCTGTGCAGCCGTTAGCAGAAGGCTTTTTAATATAGTGCTGGTTCTAAAGAGTTAGATAGCAGGCTTAGAGCAACAGTGCTTGAAGTATCTTGGTCATAAGAAAACAGTAAAGGAACTTCCATATTGAATCAGTTCTGGAAATGAAATGTTTAGGACTGAATTACGCAATTCATGTGCAGCACTTCATAGTAAAACATGGTTTTCATTTCAGTTTCCCTGTCTGCTTTGTAAGAGACAGTAAGTCCTGTCTTCACTGGCATATATTTCTTTTGATAACTGGCAGTGTGGTCTCCAGTTAGTGTTACTCTCTCAAGCATGAGTTTGAGAAAACTGACAAATGCAACCAAAGTATTATTGTTGTCGTAGCAGCTCCTTAGTTTTAGATAATGATTATCAGCAATTGCTGCACTCTTGAAAAGTGTTTTCTGTGATCCATTGCTCACTTCAAAGCCAGGCAGTACTAGATTTTTTTTTACCTTCTCTTCAGTTTTGAACTCATTTATTTTGTCTAATGGAAGGTCTCTCCTGTTATAGGAAGGTGAAAATATGCTGCTTATTAATTTATTCTTAAATTCTCTCTGCCAAGCGCTTGTTCTTATTACACAGTGATTTTATTTTAGCAATGGGTACCGTTTTTTGTTTTCTGTCAGGTTTATTTTGTCTGTCTTTTCCTACTTTCTACCATTTAAGAGAACTACCAATACTAGATTATTAAGTTCAGCTTTTGATTTACTAGTGTCTAACAGCATTTGAGAAGAAATATACTGCTCTATGCTACACTTATCCCTCTTTCTTTAGAAGTTCCAAAGAACAAATACTGGTTGGGGACGTCCATGCTTATTTCACCCAAGTCTCTGAAATGAGCAGTGTGTTTTTTTCATCTAACACTATTTGAACTACTTCAGATGTGGTGCAATTTCTGGGTAAAACCCACATTTCCCAAGAAAGGGATGTAGAATACATCCAGTGTGTAGCCGAAAAGTATTGTATGCTTGGCTATAAAATGTATGTAACCTTTTCATTATCTTTCTCTTCCCTCTTCTAATTCAGGGCTGTCTGATTTTGAGTGATGAACTGAATCATGCATCACTAGTGCTTGGCGCAAGGCTGTCGGGAGCAACTATTCGCATCTTTAAGCACAACAGTAAGTATAAGATGGGGGACTTGGCCTTTCCATAGGTACTGTAGATACAGTCTCTTCTATCTTCTGATAGCTGGAAATCCAACTTCTTTTAGGGAGATAAATTGCTGGCTACCCAAAGGGTCAGAATACTGTTGCTACCCAGAAGTTAATGTAGTAGCAAACATTGGATTGGAGACCATTTAGTGTGTTCATTCTCAACTAATAATACTTTTATCCTGCTGCTATGCTGTCTTACATTTCTGCATGTGAAAGAAGAACATACTTCTCTGAGAGGTTTAGGGACACTAGTGTTCTAACATGACTTTGCACTACTTGGATAGCTCAGCACCATTTGGCTCTTGTAACAAGCCATGTCAAGAAGTAATGCAGCCTGTAGTGGTCTAGATCAGTTTGGGGGCCAAGTTTAGGACCAAAGGATGGTACGATCCTATATTAACAAAAATGTAAATGTGGATGTCATAGCTGTGCTAGACAGTATGGCTATGCAGTATTGCTATAGTGTAGTACAAAGGGGACTTGAGAACACACAGCGTAGATGAATTTCCTTGACTGACTTGTTTAGCATTCTTTGAAAAGAAATGCTTGGAATTGTCAGTTTAGTAGTTTTAGCTTCCTCCAGTGAAGGTGTTTAGAATCATCTTCAAATAAAAATGTTAAGTTTCTTTTTGTATCCTTGTTGAAAGAGGTATCTGGTTATCCTTAATTAGTAAAGGCACTGCTTCCATTCTTCAGCTGTTCCTAGGTACTCTTTTTGCAGTGTTACTCTTAGAGGTCATAATGACTCTCTTGCTCTTTGAGATGGGTCTATGATGATGACAGCAAACTTTGGGTGACTGCAGTTCTTTTCCTTTCCTTGTCCTCCTGGATAGTGGATCCGCTGTTGCTTTTGTCTCTTTTGCATCTTCTTTTTCTTGTTCTCTGGGTAGTTTTCTTGGAAAGAATTGTAATGTTTAGTGGTAACATTTTGTTGTTGTTATTGTTCTTCATCCATCTTGATTGCAGCACGTCTTCATTGACGGCCCAAATCACAAAAGCTCTCTATTCAGCGTCTGCGTTTGTATAAGCACACTTCTGAACGACACATCCAATTCCAGCATTTAAGAGAACACTGGCATCAGCAATGAAAATCTGAGTTTGCTCTTTAGGGAGAGAATGGGAGGGGAGTGGTGGAACTAGAAACCCAGTGGCTGAAATAAGGCAGCTGTGGAATAGTCCCCTGTAATTATTATAATGGCACTATTAAAGATGCTTTTACTGCTGCTGAAATGGCTGATATGTGATAATTTATCTTTATATGATGGTGCTTTTGTTCACTTTGCTGATATCTACAGTTGGAAGAGTTTCAACATATTAAATTCATTGCAAGAGTAATAGTAGTACATACAGTTCTGGTTATGGTCTGAAGGGCTCAGAAATTCTGGTATAATGTGTGAGACGGAAGTTCATAGAATCGTTAAGGTTGGAAGGGACCTCTAGAAATCATCTAGTCCAACCCCCTGCACACGCAGGGTCACCTAGAGCACGTGGCACAGGACTGCATCCAACCAGGTTTTGAAGATCTCCAGACAAGGAGACTCCACAACCTCTCTGGGCAGCCTGTTCCAGGGTTCTATCACCCTCACGGTTAAGAATTTTTTCCTTAAGTTCCTGTGGAATTTTTCATGCTTCAGTTTGTGGCCATTTCCTCTAGTTCTGTCGGTGGCCACCAGTGAAAAGAGGCCAGCACCATCCTCCTCACTGCCTCCCTTGAGGTACTTATAGACACTGATCAGGTCTCCTCTCAGCCTTCTCTTCTCCAGGCTGAACAGGCCCAGCTCCCTCAGCCTCTCCTCACAGGGCAGATGTTCCAGGCCCCTGATCATCCTTGTGGCCCTGCGCTGGACTCTCTCCAGTAACTCCACATCCCTCTTGTACTGTGGAGCAGTACAAGTACAGGTTCTGCAGAGTGGGATACAAAATAGCAATGTAAGGTTGGGGTACTGTGAAAATCTCATAAAATCACGTGTCAGGTAAGAATTTTTAAAAAGAGACAGAAGAAGGCAAAATGAAGACTATAAATTTGGCAAATTAAAATGATGTACAGTCCTTGAGTTACATACATATCCTGGGTTCTACTCTTGTTTTACTCAGTGCTGCTTTAATTCATTTTATTTTCCTGATGTGTTGATGGCTTCTTTTACATTCTGACTTCTAGAAACCATGGAACAAAATGAAAAAGCCTCTTAATTTCTTGCTCCATATTTGTTTGTTTATCCCTACCTCATTCTGCACTTTATCTGTGCTGTTAAGGCCGGGTCTAGCCCCTAGTCTTTTTCTCTTTCATGACAGATCAGAGCAGAAGAATCTATCCCAGTGCTCTGCTCTCAACTGCCCTTTTGTCCTTGAGAAGTAGGTTGGAGACAGATACTCTGCTGACTTCTCCATCTTTGGCTTTTCCTGTGCATTGACTGTTTTCTAACAGTCTCCTGACTGACCTGTTTTTCAGTTCCTTTTGCTGGCAGGATTACTCTTGTCTACCAATCATTTTTTCAAGGTTGTTTATGCTCCATATTCTACCCTCGCGTTTTTATCTGTCTCTTGCTCAGCATCTTAGTTTTTATGAGTTGATTACCCCTATCTCTTCTCCTTTCTTGAAATGTTTTTCGGAAATGACTCCGTGCATGTATTTCCTCACACTACTCTTTCTCTCCTCCTACAATCATGTCGTGCTCAAAGCTAGTGAAGTTGCAAAATACACTGCTACTACCAACTTCCTCTTTCTAGTATGCTGAACTTTGTCCCCATTCCTATGCTGGCTCTTCTCTTTTCCTCCTTGACTTTCTCTGCTCCTCTTGCATTGATGTTAGTCTTGAACCTTAAAAACTTCCTTTTCAAAGGTTGGTCTTTCTCTGCTTTTATTGGTTAGTAGGTTTCTGTTCCACAGCTCCAGTTTCTTCAGCTTTTATACAAAAGCGATATAAAATAAGCACTTGTTTCCTGCCTTATTCTGTACTTCGATCTGCATTCTACTACTTCTCTTTGATTATCTTTGAGCATATATGCTTTTCTTTAGCTTTATTTCTATCCACGAGGATACCATTGTTCCCTAAATGGCCTACTCGCATCTTACCAGAGAGTTGCCTTCCCTTTTCCTTCACCCTCCACACCCTTGAGCTCTAACCCTTTATGCCTTGAGCTCTAACTTGTGCTTTTAATCTAGGGTGATCAAATTCCTCCTCAAATTTTACACAGTTACCAATTTCCTTTAATCTCACTTTTGGGCCTGCAACTGGACATATTTATTGATTTAGGTATTGTCTGGCTTCCATACTGGAGCAGTTTGTGCTTTTGTGGATATTTCTGTCTTTACTCATGTCTAAGTTCAAGCTGTTTTGATACCATCTAACTGTAATCTTTGGTGCAGATATGCAAAGCCTGGAGAAGCTGCTCAAAGATGCTATCGTGCATGGGCAACCTCGTACGCGAAGGCCCTGGAAAAAAATTCTTATCCTGGTGGAAGGAATATACAGGTACAAAATATTCCTTTTATTGGCAAGACCCTCAAAGAGGGATCTAGCTGCTTAGCATTTCAGCTCCTTTACCAAATCAAATTAGGTTGTCATAGCTGTTTCATGGATATCATAATCTGAGAACTAAATTAAGCTGGGTATGTCACATCCTGGGCTTTCCGTTGTTACTCCAGCTGCACTTTGCACTTCCAGAATGCTTCCCACATCCTGCTCAGAACTAGTCTGAATTAGTACTTATATCAGAGATGAAGTCTTAAATTTTGTTCCTTCCATTTTTTTCTGCTCAGTCATACTCATCAGAATGGAAATGTGCAGTTCAAATGTTTTTTTCTGAGGGTGAGTATGAGTTTGTCATAAGCAGTGAAATGATGGTGATATACAAAGTGAGATACTACTGCTGAGAGTATCATGAGTTTTCAAGCTAAAAATGATACACAAGTAAATGTCAGAAAAAAAACAAACATGAGAGTGGAAGTCTTAGTTCATGTTCATAATCATCACTGAACACATTGCTTTGTCTTGACTTGCTGTTGCTGTTAGTATTTAGTCAGTATGTCGCTATGCCAGAGATGTTAAACCTGTAGATATGGAGGACTGGCTACCAAGTGCAAAGTAGAGTTACTTTTTAGCACTCTGCAGAAAGTGTTGTTTTTAACAAGCTTTGCAAGTGGCTGCAATCACTGAAAGGAAGTGAAGGAGAAGTTTGACTTTAGTTCCTAAAAGAGGCTATAACAATTAAATCAATTTAAAACGTCTGTTTTTTCAACAGCATGGAGGGATCCATAGTCCGTTTGCCTGAAGTGATTGCCCTTAAGAAGAAGTACAAATCCTACCTGTACCTTGATGAAGCTCATAGTATAGGTGCCCTGGGTCCCAGTGGCCGGGGTGTAGTGGAGTATTTTGGACTTAATCCTGAAGATGTGGATGTCATGATGGGAACGTTCACCAAAAGCTTTGGAGCTGCTGGAGGCTACATTGGAGGCAAGAAGGTAAAAAACCTGAAGTACCATGACCCTTTCAGACTCATGGTGGAGTGCTTCACTAAGCATTTCCAAGCTTTCTTTTTTTTTTTGAGTTGCCCTGATTGTTCATTTGTTTCATACGGTTTAGTGCAGTGAAAGTCTGTGCAATGCAGAAAAGCCTAGTCCAGGAAAGTTCCTACATGCTCAGTGATGAGCTCAATTTGCTGAATGTAACGTAGTGGCAAAATATCTTTTGGGGAGCTGCTAGGAGCAAGGAATTAAGGATATTTTAATCTTACCTTTTAATAAGTCTGGTAGGAAGAACTCCAAAAAAGAGATTTTTTTCAGCCTCTTTTGTAAGAAGATGCAGATCCTAGAAGATGCAGATCCTAGGTAAACTTTGTGAAGCTGATTTTTATTGGACATGTACACTTTGCTTTCTAGGAGGTTGCTTCTTCCCTTGTTTTCTGAGTACTGACTCTTTTTTTACCTTCTGATGGAAGGTACTGCTAGGAGGTGTTGCCCTTGTCAAAATCCTCTTTTTGGAGGGGATATAGACTATTACATGTGTTTCCTTTTTCATATTTTTAAGTGACCCCTACAGATGAGACTTTTAATCCTTATTTTAAGGTAAAATTTTACCATTTGCTTGCCTGGAGCATAGTGCTTTAGATTTGAACAGTGACAATTACTGTAGCCCATGGTTTGGGGCATGGGACTTGCACATCTTCCTTTTTTTTTTTTTTTTTTACTTTATTGCAGTTAGTTTAAAAAGATTTAATATCTTTCCCAAAATGAAGCACTGTTCCTTTTTTTTTTTTTTTTTTTCCCCAAATGCACTGAGCCAGCAGGACTAACTCGCCTGGTACAAGCTGATTCAGCTTGCAGTCTGTATTTTAGCTACTGTGTTTGAGGGATTACTTCCGAAATAGGAGGCCTTAAATCATCCTGCCTAGCTTATTTCAAAGCACTTTACAATCTCCTTAAATTAAACTCTGATTCCAGGCAGAGCATAACCTTAAATTGAACATTTCCACATATTCCAAAAAAATGTTTCCCAGCTTCTGCTGTTTACAGGGCAGTCCTATTCATTTCATGGTAGCAGAAAATAATTTGACTGGGTACCTGTTATGGTATTTTACTGGGATGGTCAGGGTATTGTAGAATAGTTTTGTTACAGCAAGCAGACTAGATCTATGGTATGTTTGTCCTTCATTCCCATATTACCTGCTTTTACTTTGTACAAATGTAACAGGTACTTTAAGAGGCAAATGCAGGAGTGGTAGGCTGAGATTTATGTAATCTTAAATGATATCTGCTGCTTTATTTATATTTTGCTGATAAATGCAAGTAAACGTTGTGACCTGTGCCTTATTTTGTGCTTTTGTGAGGAAATAATTATACTGTGTGTGATACATAAGCACCTGCTGGTCACCATTTCATTTGTTGTGTATTCCAGCTGTTACACTGGACACTCCTGAAGCACAACCTGCACGCAGCTCGAGTAATGCAAACACCTCGTCCCAGTCCATCACTGCTATTGCTGGCGAAACAAGCCTCTGTCTTCGCCATTGCTCCTTGACCGCACGTTCTTCCCTTGGGACACAGAAGACAGGATTGTGATCCCCTACTGACGGCACTTCCAGCATTTGTTACTTACACTGTAAATTCAATCCTTGAGCTACCCAGCCTATTCCAGGAGATTCTGGAGGAGGTTTGCTGCAGTGACCCATTTTGCTGTGTGACTAGGGCGTGACGGTACAGCATTCCTGTGAGTGTGGGCAAGGCAGTGTCTGATTGCCTCTTGTGTTTTGCTAGGAATTGATTGATTACCTCAGGATACATTCTCACAGTGCTGTGTATGCAACATCCCTGTCACCTCCTGTGGTGCAGCAGATCATCACCTCCATGAAGTGTATTATGGGTGAAGATGGTTCAACTCTTGGTGAGTCTTTATAACATTAGGCATGTGGAACTGGAAAAGCAAAAGAGAACCTCTCTGTTTTTGACAGAAAATTAATTCAATGGACACATTTATAATTATCTTTTAGTTCATGTAAACTTAGAATTTCTGGAGCAGCAAGCCAACTTACTTATCAGATATGATGGCTGTCCTACTTAGAAGTCAGCCTAGTAATGGTATAAGGAAATAGCTAGAGGTAAGTTATCTTAGTCTTACGTAAGACAGAATATTGTTTAATACTGATTTTGATTTAGCATTTAGCTTTTTTGCCTCCCTTTCTTCTCTTTCTTCTATCCTAATTTATTGTTTACCTCACTTGGAAGCTTCACTGAAGACTGCTTTCAGAGTATTTTGTGTACGTTTTACAGTCCTGTCTATTATACCAAGCTTCTGATTTTTTGTCCCTCATATGATTTGCTGTTTGTACCTCAGAGTAAACAGAGGAATGTCTCTGAAATGTTTTTTTTTTCCCTCTGGAAGCTAGGTAAATAGGCTTAATGAAGCTGGGAAAGGTATTCAGCATATTCAGCTCTGTTGACTTAGTTGTGTGGTTTTGCGCTTGTTTGCTTTTTTTCATAGAAATTAGAAAGGGAAAATCTATGCTAGTCTTGATATATTCAAAGTCCAGAATCTGTGTATATTTTTTCCTGATAAGTGGTGCTAGTAGCTTCCTTCAGTTATAGTACTCAGTGTACAGCTGGTGAATCACAAATGGAGACTGCCTAAAAACTTAAATGGCACAGCACTTTGCTGTGGGGTATTTTGCTCTCTGCACAAGTTCTTTTAAAAAGTTGGGTGGCACATGCAGAATGACAGTATAGTTCTCTCAGGATCTGTCTGGAATTTTTGGTTCAAAATCTAACTGAATTAAAACCTGTGAATATACTGAACTACAGGAGCTTCAGGCATCGGACCACAAGGTGGTGGTGGTGTATGCTGAAGAACCACGCTTGCTTTTGAACATGGATCATCTGACCAGCTAACCTGACAGTTAGTTTCTATGGTGAAAAAGCTTGCTGGACAAATAAATCAATAATTCTTACGTTACAATAGCTTTAATTCAGTTTGCTTACATTATCTTAGAATAGAGTTAGTTTTAGCAATAGTACTTGGTAGTGACTGTTGTTTTGCAGTTGTTCGTAACTGCTGCAGGTACCCCTGGACAGTAGTGCCTGTATGTGTGCTACACTCAAGTGCTCTGGAGCAGTCCATGTGAGTTACCTCTACCTGCCAAAGGTTGTCCCCACCAGCTCTCCCAGAAGAAGTATTAATCCAGCTTCAGGTTACATGAAAAGCTGTGTCAGTGAGTTGGATATTAGAGCTCTCTTTAGCCAGTTATTTGCCCACAGTTTGTGGTTTGCTCGGGCGTTGTTTGTGTTGGGTTTCCTCCAGTATGTGATTTGCCTAATGAAGTGGCAAGCAAGAAATCTGTAACCAATTCTATCTGAAACACTCAAACTAAGGCAGCTTTGTTGCTTTCTGTCACTATAGCTTGATACTCCTTTAAGCCATGAGAATGGAAGCAACTTCCACTCCAGACTGTTCTCCTGCCGTTAAGCCAGCATAAGCATTTGAGTTGAAAGTCGAAGCAGATTGGGAACTTATCTGGCAAAAAATAAGCTTCAACTAAAGAAGTCTTTTCTTGTTGTAGTGTTACTTAAATATATGTCAAACTATATCCTAATTTGGTGCTAAGGAGAAATTCTAGCCACTCTTTGTATTGCAAAATAACCTAGCTTTCAGATGCCAAAAATGCTTTATTTCAAGGAGGCCTTTGTACTTCAGGTTTTCTGTGAACTTCGGTACTTTTCAGAAGTGCTGGATGCAACTGGATCGCCAAGGTCCTGTCCAGCCATATTCAGAAACAATTTCTGCAGCTCTCATGAAAGTGTTACTGTCTGAGCATCTAAGTCAACTCTCACTAGGATAAGCAACTGATAGAATGATCCCTGCTGGAAAGTGTTTTTCTGCTCATTTTTTGCACAGTGCTTATTCCCTGTTATACTTTTTTTTTTTTTTTCTTTTTCTCCTTTAATCTTTAAAGGTAATATTATTTCGTAGACTTGTTCTTTGGATGAAGCTGGCTAAGGCTCAGTTGTGCAGATTGAGCAACTGTTTAGTGATAGTATGACAAGGTTTTTTTTCCTTGTTGAACAGCTTTGGCAGAAAAACTTGTGTTTGGATTTTGTGGCATTGTGGGTAGGGCTCTAAAGGGCCTCTGTAGCTTCTTTGATTATGAGCAAGTCTGAAACAGAATGATGCTGGTGAGAGGTGATAGCGTGGAAAGTAAACAGGTTCAGAAGTAGTGTCAGATCGGGTCACTGGCAAACACTTTCAAAGCGACTATGTATTATAAACATCCTACTGCTCTTAGAATAGCAGTCAAGCCTAATTAATGGATGGAGGAAATCTGAGGTAGCATAATGATTTTTGCAAGGACCCAAGAATTAATGGAGTTGGAATCAGAACAGTAGACTGATAGCTCTCAACTGTGTTTTGAGCCACAACTAAATCTTTCAATGGCTTCAAAGAATGCTTGCTCTTTTGTCTGCTTGCTTCTGTTCCCCACTGCTACTTGTAAAAGTTGTCATCTTCCATGACATCTAAACTTTGTGGAAATAATGAAGTCAGATTGAGATGTTCTATAGTTGGGAGTAAGGTAGTAAGTAATTAGATTTTTGAGGAACAAAGCTGAGGAGTTCTCTTGTATTTTGTGAGGATAAGTCAATTCAGTGGATTTCTCAATTTAAGGAAACATCTGAAGGCTCTAAACTTGCAATATAAGGCATTGTAGTTATTTAAGTTATGTAATTTGCAATATAAGGCATTGTAGTTATTTATGTAAAGTTTTAGTATCTCCTTTCAGATTTTTGTAGAAAACTGCCAGTGATTAAATAGGATATTAGTAAGAGATGGCACAGACAAAATACAGGTGCTGTGTAAAGCTGAATGGCTGATTGCGGCGAATGTAGTGTAGGAAGGACTGGATAGCACACATAACGTGCTGCATAAATCAAGATGGTGGTTTCTTTTGCATCGTGATTTCTGTTCAAGCTAATGTGTGACATGCAAAGATATCTCCAAATTACTCTTGGGGTTTCCTGTAGGAGTGTAGAGTGAGGGGAGGGAGAAGGCTGCTTTCCCCAAGAGCAATTTTTTGATACTAGTTTTTACTTGCAAATCAAAACATGCAAGATGAAATGGGTCTAGGGAGCTTGATCTGTTCCTAGGATTATTTCATGGAGTGATTGCACATGGAAAGATTAACCTCGTTCACAGATGAAACTTGGCTGTACCTATGTGTAAAATATTTAAGTTGAGCATTAAATCCAGGAGTGTTCTGACTTTGAACTTAAACTGACAGTGTGTTAATGATTTATAAAAGAAGTGAACTACTTCCTTCCAGGTCCATGGCCGTTAATTTGATTACAGTCATTACATACGTTGATATTTGTAACAAGTTCATCGTTTCATATATTTCTTTCAGGAAGCAACTATCTCACATCTCATCTCATGGTGCTGTACAAAAATGGCACATACGTTTTTAGAAACAATTGGGGATAGACTTTGCACAAGATGACACTTCAATTTTAATATAATTGTTGCTTTGCTGCACACAAAGCAAAGGTTTTACTACATGGTTCTAATGTAGCAAGCTGTGGAGGTGGCAGTAGCATAGGCCAGCTGAACTGTTGTATCAGAGGTGCATAACCAATCTTTGCAGGCCAGTCAGCTGCACATAGTTTGATAGGTCTCCCTTGAGGGGCTTAATTGTGAAGAGTTGGCAGCTGATTACAATTAGTTCATTACACCAGTACAGAAAAAAGAGAGACCAGAACTGCATTTCTAGTCTCGACACTGCTATGTGCAACCAACTTGTGAATTGAATCAGAAAAAGTAGATGGAACTAATGACAAACAACGGGATAAGAAGGTACAGCTGTGTTAGCAGAGAACTGAGACTAATTCAAGTGTTTAGAAGACCAGATCATGACCATGTTGTTGATATGCATGGAGAAAAGCATGGAGGAAGGAATATTAACCTTGTCCTGCTTCAGCTGTAATGAAGAAGAGACTACAATTAGTGTGGTGACCTCCATGTGGTTAAGACTCATGAAGCTATGACCTCAATAGTTAAATCATCTGCCTCGACTTTAGCAGGTTTCTTTAAGTTGAACATTTAATAAAATTCCTACTTTCCTTCTAAAGACAAGTCAGAAGTATGTGCAGGTATGAAATGTCAGTAGTGATGAAGGAATAATCCACATAATATCACTTGGTTATTAAATTTCAAATAACGGATAGTATATTTATAAATACAATTTGTACCTTGTCATTACCTAGCAGACCCACAAATGATAGCAGTGGCTGCTGTTGTACCTGAAAGGAAATAACTCCTTGTGCAGGTTGAGTTGAAAACATTCACTTAGCATTAAAATTGGTTCATCTGAATTTCTTCCAATAATGCACTTGTTAATGAGGTGTTAAATTATCACCTTGGGAACCCAGGGACCAGTCAAAACTAATTTGAGCTAAGTGAAAACTTTTTTTTTTGTTGCTGCCCCTGAGAATCTCAAGCTGAGCTGGGGAACTGTTGGAAAAACAAATACTCTGGGGGTCATAAAGAGAATTTCCTGCTTCTCCCCGGGGGGCTGACAGTTTTAAACATCACTCTCTGTATTTGTGCTTCCAGCTGGGGATCTTTTAAATACAGCTCGTTGCTGCACCCCTACCTCCCTCTTACAGAGCATGGCAAGTCTCCAGAAAAATTGCTTTAACGTAGTCTGGGCAAGAGATATCTTGGAGTCATTGGTGCTTTGAAGACTTTTTATAGATGCTAACAGAGCCGTACCCTTTGTTTGGCATTGGAATGCCAGAGTTCTTGGGTTCCTCTTCTGGACTTTACTCAGCACAGTGGAGTTTATGCAAGTGCTCGTGCAGCTTTATAACAATACAACTGCTTAGTTCTTGTAACATTCCAGC